GGAAGAACTAAATAAATAATTGGCCCAACTAAAAGTTTACAGAAACAAATTCGTATTTAGATTTTTCCACTACGAATTTATTGTAACCCTTAAATAGCCCAACATTTAGTTGGACCAAGTTATTATTAATTCATGAATTATTTTCTGATTAAAAGCTCTATATAGTAATATATTTAATATTTTCACTTATTTCGTACTAATAATAAAATAATAGAAATCTTTGGAATATTTTCATACAACGCTAACCAAAATTGTTTTTTTGCTAGCGAAATATTTTATCCGGCTCTAGTGTTTTTAAAAACATAAACGCTATGTTATTTTTCAAATAACATTGCCTTTTGAGTCATACTTCAATAAAATTGTGTCTATATAGTTTAAATAACATGTTTTGTTTAATGATGTATAGTATAGTATAGTTTTATTCGACACATTATGTTTTCCAAATTAATTAATTTTAAATGTTTGTATAAACAACGGTCCTACTTAAACTATGGGACAATATAAAACCACGATAAATATCTAATAGGAAAAAAAAAATAATTGGCCCGACTAAATGTTTACAGAAACTAATTTGTATTAAGTTTTTTCCACTACGAATTTATTGTGACCCTTAAATAGCCCAACTTTTAGTTGGACCAACTTATTATTAAGGCAGTCCAACTAGAAATGTTTTGTACCCTTATATTTAACACTATTATAGTGACCTTAAGGTACACCTTGTGCCAAATATATTTAGTTATTTGAACGGGTTTCTGTATAAGAAACTTATTCATCAATGATTTTTTGATTTAAAGCTCTGTATAATAATATATTTAATATTTTGACTTATTTGGTATCAATAATATTAGGAATATTCGGAATATTGGACAATAATTTTACACAATCAATCATTTGAATGGTGGACGATTCATGTTTCAATCGTTTGTACTCTAAAATTGAAAATTACAATAGTTTTTACTCAATAAGAAATTGGATAAATCCTAACCGAGATAGCATCATAGTAAAACCAATACCTTTACTGCTTTGCATCGAAGCAAAAATACAATTTTTTTAATTGATGATATATAATTTTCCATTAAAAAACATTGTTATTTAAATAAATATTTCGTAGATTATTTGCTATAAAATGTAAGGTACGGACCAAATTTCTGCTAGGTTAAACATCACATAATATGGATTTCTTTATTTAAGGGGGTTTACATATCGAACATTTTCCCGAAAAGAGGTCACATATTGTGTTGTTGTTTTTAAACATAATAAAAACATACTATACACCGTATAGCAACAAAAATATGTATTACAAACACGTTTTCCCATATTTTTTGCCTTTTACTTTGGTAAATAAAAAATTTTAGCTACAGAATTCATACACAACTCATAAGTTTGAAATAAAAAGTTGTTATTTAATATTTAATTAAAATATGCTTGAAGTTGTTAATGCCCTGTTTTAGGTGGTTTTCACGTCTATACATTGAACAAATATTGACTCAGTCATTAGTTACAATACGTTTAGTAGATCAAATTAACTATGAATTTATTCATAAGCGCTGCTTATTAAGGGGCAAAGGATGGTAGGCACTATTTAACGAATATTGTTCTAGTAGACATTTAAAATATGCCAACTAATTTTTTAGCATGCACGTATATACGGTGTTATTATAAAATCTATAAGAAAAACTTAGGTAATAAAAAAATCCATAAAGTCCCTTAAGCACTATGAACACGGATCATTACAGTTTAGTTTTTAAGATGGTTATTAAGACGTATTATGCAGAGTTTCCGTGCAAATTGTTTAACTTCAAGCGGAATTGTTTTGTTCGATATGTTTACTTATTCACATTACTCTGACGTAGTTTAAACTTCTGTTGTTTTAAACATATAGTTGCCAAACATATTTTTTTCTTACATTAATACAAAAAGTACCTATTATAAAAAATTTATATTGTTGGATACAGTTTTTGGATTTAAACCGTTTTGCGCGCGTCGTCACTGCTGCCTACCGGGCGCAACGCGTCCCTGACGGTTGGCACCCCTGGGAGGTGTCATTGCCACGGCGCGCCGGCCGGCATCCATCGTCGTTGACCAGTGATAACGGTGCATTCTTTTGTGTGCAGTCGCCGTGTTCGATAGTCTTCACTCGGCGACCGATCAACCCTGTCGAACACACCGCGTCGTCAACGCGTTTTCGCTCAAGTCAACGTTGGGGAAAGTGGTCGTGTGTCCGGTCATCGTCCAGCTGTTTACCGGCGTTCCAGGACCACCACAACGCCACCACCATCAACGAGTTATCATCCGTCGGTAATCCTTAGGGTACAGGTCGTATACGCGATATTTTTCTCTGTGTGTACCTAGTTTATTTTTTTGTTGGGATTTATTAATGTCTGTTGGCGGGCGGATCGTGATCGCGCAATTATTTATGTTACTAACACTAGTTGTAAGTTTTACTTTTGCATAGCATTAGAAATAAATTATTTCATAATTATTTTTCATACCAAAAAAAAAACTGGTGTTATCAGTGACTAGGGATATCTCGCATTTATCTCCATTTACTTATCTTCACCATTTACGTTAGGGTTTCGAAAACCAGTCTCAACCTTTTTAACACGCTTATATTAGCTTCACTTGTATGTATGTTGGTATGTTTGTATGTAACTAAAAGAGATAGGCAACCGAACGTACATGCGTGTATTCATTGTTGTTTACCTGAAGTTTTCAAGTAATAGAAACACGTATGTACTAGAATTAAAAAACACGATTTTAAAGCACATCGAACTAACAAGTGGAAAATAAATATAGTTTAAAAAAACTAAAAAACACGCTTAAATAGTAAAATAAACTAAAAAGTAGAAAATCATTTTCAATATAGAAATCGATTAATAAAAAATAATAGTATTATTGTGAAAAAAGCGTGGGGTGCTACATATATCAGTTCTTGAAAAGCACCCCACACTTTTTTCACAATAATACTATTTATTTTTTAATAATTGATTTCTATATTGAAAATTATTTTCTACTTTTTAGTTTATTTTACTATTTAAGCGTGTTTTTTAGTTTTTTTAAACTATATTTTCACCCAGCTTTTTTAACCCACATATCTCTGGTTCCTTTTAAGATAAGCTTTTTAAATTTGAAACATAGATTAAGCTCGAGTAACTTATATTACTGAGAGACAGCTTCTGATACTGTAAAAAATTGAGCCCTTAAAAGTAAGCTTTTTTAAAAGCGGAGAATTTGAAAATTTTCATTTTTGTTTCTCATTCACTCATCATAAAAATGATAAAACACTTTCTGTACAAGTAGAAACGTGAAATTTAGCACATAGGTAGGTCTTATAGTGTAACTAAAGGGAAAAATCTTGTCACAATTTACTCAAAATTAATGCCACTTTAGATAGTGTAGTTTTTAAATGCATAAAGACGCACATGAATATTGCTTACCCGGTAAGGTTCAGACTACCACGGATTCTTATAAATTAATCACAGATTTCCACACCGTCGGAACAAACGTCTTTCAAACAGTGTTACAATATGGCAATAAGCAATAATTTTTTGTAATTAAATGTAAATACTTATTGAACATAATCTTTTCGTAATTCTATTGTATTATTATTGATATGTAATGACCCAGCGTCAATCGGACAATATTTGAATGTGCGAAATAAGAAAAAAAAGTATTTTGTTTGTGAATGAGTACAAGTCGTTTTTCTGTACGAATAACACATTGAATCCCGGCACGCTTAGTATTAACAGATAAGCGTGATTCAGCAATTAGAACTCGGGGTCACGCGTCTCTCTAAATAGACTTCCCACCGGGTAAGAGCCCTTAAAAAGCAAATTTGGGAAAATTTCCCAGTGAAAGTTGATTGTGATTGGCATAGCAACGGCCACCAACGACCGGCTATCAACTTAGCAACCGTGTATCGGGTTGTTATTTCGAGGAAGGAGACATCTTTTGGACAATCCGACACCGGGAATCGATAGAGGTGGTAGGGTTACCTGCTTGGAATGGTTTTGGGAACCTAGGACTACTCTAAGACCGATTTATCCACGAAAAAGGGCTATGTTCCAGACCGCCTACCTAAAAAGTCAGCCTTTTTAATGTAGTGCGGTTAGGTTAGATTAGGTAGTCAAAGTATTCATATCTCCATTGTGGCCAAATCTACTATTTCTTTGGTTCATAACCTCACTTCACTTCTACTTACATGAGCAACACTTCTTTTTAATTGTATCCCTTAACACGTACAATGCAATATCATTATCAAATGTACTCACTTTGTTACTGAGTTACGTGGTAGATGGGAAAGAGGAATTCAGAAAAAAATAAAAAGGTTCAGATTCCCTCCCAAAAAAAGTCAGCCAATCAAAGTAGTGGTCAAGTCTGTTTTATGCCTCATTTAGAAAGGTCATGTAAAATGTGCAAGGATTTTTATAACTAAAAGGCGAATTTGATGACCTTTTTGTTTTGAATTACCGCACACTCATTCTTTTTGCTAAGAAACCATTAATTTTTTTTTTAGTAGAACGTTGCAATCACACTGTAGATAAATTATCTACATCAGGATCACTATAATATATTTAATTGCTATGAGCACGTCTTTTAATATTAAATGTTTTGAAAAAATCATTGTGTTTTATTAATTACTTCTCATACTTTAAACATTACGTTTTTTTATGATAAAAATAATATTCAAACAAACTACTAAGCAAAAAAACTTATTGTACCATTTTAAGTGAACCCTGTATTAGTTTCTGCATAAAAAATGCACGTTAAATTTTTAATCATTTTATTATTCGTATTGGATGTGCCGACGAGTTCATATTGTTTTCGTTAAATTAAGCAGAAAGTAGATAATTTTTGTTTTTAAAAATGCTTTAAATCGATCTGTAAAATATGGTACAAATATTAAGTATTTGTGTAAATCGACACATAAGCAACATATGTCATTATACTCGTAAGCTGTTTATTATTAATTACATGAAATTGTAAATTAGCAACGAAAAGTGATATAAGTGGTATAAGGTATATAAGCGTAAAATGCAAATATTATTTAAATAAAACAATAAAAGTACATTTTCATTGTAAAAGAGTTACATTGGTACTGGTTGGAGTCGTGCAAAAACGTTAATGTTATTGCCGACGACTACATTCCATCCGTTCCTAAGTTTTCTATATCGCAAGGTTCCATACCTACTAGATATGGTACACAAATCATCGTCGTCATCAACAGTTTGTGAGAAATATACAGGGTATCTTGCACTGGTGAACACCGCAATGAAACGACACCCCCAATGTACAGTATATAAATTTGCAACTAAAAAATAAAAAAACAAACATCTACGTTACTTGAAAATAAAATTACAATAAAAAGTGCATGGCGTCTTTTTGAGCAGCTATTTTCATTGTGTGTTAGTAGTGACTAGGTAATATGAAAAACAAACATTTTTCTCTAGTTATTACTTACTATGTGAATTGTTCAATATTATAATTAGTTGCATCCTTGATATATTGTTATGAATTGTTAATTCATAACAATATTGTTAATACATAGTAAATAGTAGAAGTATTGACGTTAAAACATTAAATAATTCTATTGATATTATTACAAAAAAATTACATTTTAGTAAAAGAATCTAATCAAGGTCTATAATATACAGATATGATTAATGTTGTTTGTGTGTTCTGTAATTTGAATACAGTAAAAAAAAACTAAATTCGCATGTAAAAATTATATAAATACAGTAATATATGAGATATTTATGTCTCTAAAGTATACGTTGGTATAATAGTGAATAATTGTTTTAACCGGTCATCGTATACCTAAAATGATACTCCAGTGTTTCTATATGATATGAAATACATCATAGGTAGTTTAGAAAAAAGGGTGCAGTAACAAAGCTGTCTTTGTATAGTGACACACGTGCGGTCTTGGTATAGAATATAAAAGAATTTGAGGTAAGGGTTCTGGGCTCATTCTAACTGTTCTGTAATTGTAGTATATCATGATTACATTACACTCTTTATTTATCTTCTTATTATTTTTATTTATTAATATTTACCTATTATCCGGTTCATCATTCGTTTTAAAGCTACCAGAGTAACAGTTCTTCTTTGTGCTGCTAGTGCTGTCAAAGTATGTCTTGCAAAATCTGTAAATTTATTAAATGACCGAGTACATATATAAATATGAATATATATATATATATATATACAGGATGGTCCACTTATCGTGAACCAATATCTCATATGGTTTATTAGAAAATTACATTTTTTTTTTCACATTTTTTTTACCCCCCTAACAACTTTTTTGATAGCCACCTTTGAAACTTAAATGGTAACGTACATATTTTATTAACTTTTTAAATTGAAAATAATGTACTAAAATTTTTGACTGGTCGATAACCAGTTTTCGGACAACTATTTTTAAAGTTATAAGAGTTTAAAAGTTATAATTGGAGGGGAAGTGCGGTTGGGAAATGCACGCAAATAAATAAAATACTACACTCCACCTTTCTCCTGCCCTAAACTTGAAACATCAATTACTTCAAAAATAGCTATCCGAAACTGGTTAATGCCAGTCATCACCCTTACTTGTTTTACATGTAAAAATCCGGGTCATACATCTACTTACAGTAAATAATTCGCTTAATAAATCTATGTACTAACGAAACCAAAGTAACTCAGAAACTCCCTACAATACGACTTTATCCCAATCAAATACACCAATCAAGCATACAGCAACCACACAAATCTTGATCAACACACTACTCAGTCAGAATCCAGATATTGAAGAAAAGACCCCCAAAAAATATTCTTCATTAGAAAACTTTAACACACAGAAATTCAACACACAACCCATCCATCCAGACTATACTACAGTCCTCACAAATTAAAACGATGAAAAACTTAATCCAATGATTCCATTATTATGGTTCCACGATCTAAGGTATTTCAAAAGACTGATTAATATAAAAATATTAATAACACAAACCAACCTTGTCGTAATAAGTGTCCGAGAAACCAGCTTCAACCACTCCAATTCATCTGAGCTAACAGGTTACACCGGCTATCACATGCGTTCAAACCCCCGGAGAGCTAGCGGGAGAGTATCCGCACTAATTAAGTCTGATATCTACAGTGAAACATTATGGCCAATAGAAAATAAAACCACTTCAATACACCTCAAACAAAAAATGTGTAATATTTATGCACCAGATAGCTCTCCCCTAAACTTTAACAACCTTAGAATCTTAATAAGCCCACTTCCACCCCCTTTCATCATCCAATAAGACTTCAATAGCAGCAACATCCTATAGGGTTGCAAATCTACTGGAACATGATGTAAAACAGTAGAAAAAATACTCGGAGACGACAATTTATTCTTAAAAACAATGAACCCACACATTATAACGCAGCAAACGGCTCCTTTTCAGTCATAGATCTGACTATAGCCAATACCCAGCTCAGCCTCAATCTAGAAAGGAATATCATTAACTCATAATAGCAGTGGCCAAACAACAACTAAAAATGGAATCTGAACAACTCAAATTGGAAACTATATAGACAATTGCCTAGGAAATATCCCAATAAGCCTCAATCCAGATTATATCAATGAAATTATCAACAAATTTACAACATGATCAATGAAGCCGCTTAAGTTTAAATTAGATATGAAAAACACTTTATCAGGCCAAAAACAGTACCTTGGTGGAATAATGACTGTGCAGTAGCAATAAAAGACTACAAGTAAGCTTTAGTTTGATACCGAAAAACAAATACAATGCAAGAAGACATAAATTTAAAACAAACCTAGGCAAAATTTACACCAGTAACAAAACTAAATCATGGCATGACTTTACATCTACGTTAGAGCACACCTACTCACCATTCTCTAGGTAACTGAGAAGACCCAGCACATCCACTCAACAATGCAACACTACAAGAACTATAAAAAGCACTCCAAAGCAAAAAAAGCCAACGTTTTGGAACAAATGGTATACCATTTATTTTCTTACAAAAACGTTCACTGCTTATCACACAAACCCTACTAAACATATATCACGTGTATGATATAGTGAATCACTTCACAATCTAGGATTCATGGGGAGCGTTTCGCTCTGGTCCGATAGTCAGCATACTATGCAAACTGAATGAATTTCCATTAGAATTAAGATACATCAAAACCAAACTTAATTACGTCTCACGCAAATTAAGAAACACGAAAAACCCTGTAAACACACCTCTTTGATCTCCCTTTTACCAACCAATAGAAACAATCCCATCAAAGACGCATCTTACTCTACTACAACGCTTCATAAAATCAGTAAGGTAATATAGCTTCCAATCATAGAGACAATTCGCTTAAAAACATCAAACTATTCATACTGGAAAATAGACCTTCAATCAAGAGGCAATACAAAATTAACAGAGTTTAAAAAACCAAACACAGATCAAAGAACTTCTCTAAACAAGGTTAATAACATCATTTGGACCTAATTTCTCTGTTATCAACACATCTATACTGTTGCATCACAATCCAAAACCGGAATTAGAATTAGCAATTTTTAGTAACGAAAATATTAGGCAATATAAAATGAACAATTTCATTAATATCTTTTCGGCGGAGGCCCTAGCTATATGTAACTGAAAAATGATTCTCCTAAACTTTAACAAAACAACTGTCATTAGTGACTCTCTCAGTGTTTTGGAGACAAACAAAAACATCAAATCAAACAAATGCAATCCTCTATCTTTTCTCAATTAACTAAAATTATCTTACTTTGGGTACCCTTTCATAATAACATCCCACAAAAAGATAAAATCAATAAAACTACATGTACCACTGTTTTTTAATGTTCCATACAATGAATCAAAAACTCTAATAAACGAGTAATGTGCAAACAAATGACAAAACAATTGGGATAATATAGGAATTAATAAACTGAAATCATGTAAATCATCTATAAACAAATTGAACGCAACCCCTCGTATCCCGATATGAGAATTTGCATGCCTAACAAGACTTCGAGTTTGTCACTCGAACCGTACATGCTTGCACCTAATAACCTAAGAGGAAAACCCCAACTGTAAAACTTGCCTAGCCCCCCTCACAACCAAACACATAATCGAAGAATTTAAAGAATACGAAGAAAAGCGCGCCCAGTATGAAATTCCAAACAAGATAAAAGAAACACTAGTTGACAACATCCAGAATATAAACAAAATAATACAATTTATACAAAACACTAATTTAATTGAACACTGTAAAATAAATATACACCATTATTGTAAATATCTAAAAAACATGTAAACATATGCAAACGGCTAATGACTAATGTTGAACCCTAATTCTTAATAAAAAATATAACAGTTTATAATATCTACTTATATGTACACAACAACTTTGTCTTCTTCTCCTTCGCATAGATTCCAACTCTTTGGGATCTGTTACCTTTTTCCTAAACCTGCACTCAAAATGATTCCAACAACATTTTCACATACACCAGTAGTCCTCATCACATTCTCAATTGCACCGAGCCAAATTTGCTCGTTTGTCCACTTCCTCTCCTTCCTCCTACGTTCATTTTCTTTAAGCATTTTCATCTCCAATACACAAATTTTCTATTGTATTTTCCTATCCCTTATGGACCGAAGCCACACGATCGCGAGGGTTTAGTTAGTCTTTTTTTTTCTCGTTTGACATCAGTTGAAGACCGTCGATACCGAGCACTCAATTTCATTTAAATAATTATTCAACTAGATGATCAGTTAAAAACATTTTTATTCGAATATTGTGCAGCTCTACTTTATAAATAGTACATTTTGATATTTTAATTAAATGTTTAATTCTATGTACATTTTTTAAAAATAATTTATCAGACATTTGGAACTCTACATTTTTGTAATAGTTTACCTATTTAGAAAAATGTATCCAAAGGACGAATTGCGTTTATAGATTATTTGCAATTAGATATATGACTTTAATGCAAAAAATATTTATACATTTTATTTGTATATAAATAATCCATTTTTTTCTTTGGGTTGAGGTTTAAAGGTAACCGCATGGTAGTTTCATGAAGACCTCTCTATCTCTTTAATCAAAAGAGATTTATATTATCAAAACAATTGTTTGACTTTAGATATAAATACAAATTTCTATTCTAAACAAGCCTTAAAGGCTAATAACAATTATCGAAATGTTCGTAATTACTTAGGTCTGGATTATTAGGAAAATTAACACCTGTAACAAATATATCAATAGTCAATGTATTACACAGTCAAAAAAAATAGTTTTTTTACATTAACTATACAGTTACTCTTGAACTATGATTAATAATTACAAAATTTAGTATTCATATAAAATTATTTCTAAAAGTAACGTTTCGATTTATGTTTAAATTATACATCGAACGGATTATAGAGGCTTATTCAATAAACACGAAGCGATAAATTAACAGTTGTAAATTTTATATTTGCCTGTGTGAACACGTAATTGCAATCGTAACGCATTTTGGATTTCCTCGGTAACTGTAAATTTACATAAAATAAATTGTAATTATTTATTCATTGTGATTCAAACCACTATATATAAATGTATGCATATTGTATTAATATTATGATTATCCTCTATAATATGTATAGAATAAAATTAATTTGTGTAAACTTCTGTAAATATGGTATATAAATTTGTAGTTACCAGAAAAGCTTCCATTATAGATTAAGTCTGAATATAAAACAAAAATATTGCGTACTCAACGAATATCAAACAACTGTATGGAATTAATTCTATTATATTCTTTTAAAATATTACCCGGTACAGCGAACATATTATTCATAAATTCTAAAATTAAAATTACATAAATTAATGTTCATGAATTTCCTTTTCTATTCTACTATAAACTAGAAGATGGTTTTCAAGGTAGGAAAAACAATTTATAAGTAACGTGGAAGAAATATCCTTGGCTCAATAATATTTAATAGAAAATATAATGACCAAATTGAAGCAGATGTGGCAATTAGAATAAAATATTATTATTAGATAAAATCGACAGCTACCATTATTTTTTTCATAAAATAAAAATTTTGTATTTAGAGAAAATTGTGTAATTTATATCACTTATACATTTTTTTTAAAGATGAATTTTAGTTGAATGTTGAATTACTTTTACATTTATTTATTATATTATAATATAATTATAACTACCTAAACTATAATGATCATTATCTACAATTTGTTCAATTACATGCTCCAATGCATCTGAAATAAAAAAAAAATGTTTAAACCAACTCTAAATAAATTTACAACTTATCAGAGTAAACACTTGCTTACAACATATATTTTGTATTGACAATTTACCCTACTGATACTCCCCCTATTAGATTGAGTAGTCACTGCCTAAAGCCAAGTGTACTAAATTATAAAAACCTCTATAATACTACTAAATATAAATATAAATATTTTGATATTTATATATTTAACAAGTCAGACAGTGTTAAGAAAATTGATTCTATATATCTCGTGCACCTTTCTAAACTGTTTTTATAAACTTTAATTTTTAATTTATAAATAGGTCGACTGTTGGCTAAACATAACAAAACAAAAATGTATTAGTGAATTAGTTTTAAATATATATTACTTTCCATTAAACCAGTTTGTGTATTTGCGATAGTCATTCCATTAGCACGGTATAAGTGGTTATCTGTAATACAAAATTTAAAAAAATATTTATAAAAACATTATTTAAATAAAATAAAAATTCTACTGACTTGTAATGGAGACGGATCTTTTATAATCCGCTGAAAAAAAAGAGAAATATACATTTTTTTTTTATATATTCTACTACCGTAAGTAGGTAAGTATCGAATAAAAATAATAATAGAAAATACTGAATTCCTATAATTCGTTCTCTAAATCAAATACATAAGTATGAAAACAAAATAGTTACTTCGTTCATCTGTTGAAACAATTACAATGACACATGATACTAAAAACCAAAAGAGTTTCATTTTTCTCTGTAAAAAATAATAAATTTAAAGATAGTATTAGCTATTTATTTTTTGGTAAAAAAATATAAGTAAACGTCGTTAATTCACATTAAAAAAAAAAAAGAAAAAGTCCTATAAGCTTTTACCACACTCTTAAATACATATATGGTATAATAAACCGTAATTACTATTAATTTTTTAAACATGTATTTTATTTTAAACACACTTATATAATTTTATTTTTACTATATACATTATTAAAAATATAAAAATAAAAAAATTTGGACATAATATTTATTTAAATCGCAAAAAATTAAATACAATTCTATATCTAAACTACGCATTAAAAAAAAAATGATTTTAAACTTTGCCTAAATTATTTGCAGTGTTGCATCATTTGAAAAAAACTTTATCTCAGTATTCATCATATTATTCAAGTACATTTCTTCAAAGAATTAAAAAAAAATTATATTTTAAAAATTCCGAATTCATTTATTCGAATAAATGAATAATTTGAATTTGTTTTAAAAATATTATTCCGTATACATCTAATATATTATAAATTAAAAAAATATATAAAACCATTTAATATAGGAAAACAATGTTTTAATCAAATAACTTTATATTCAAGAACATTGTGTAATAATGATACCAAAAACATTTTATTCGAATACATTTTTATTCAAATAACAATTTGCAAAACTCTTAAAGTTGATAGTGTTACTTACATAAATGATTAAGATCATTTATGATGTATTATTTATGTTAACGTTATCATTTATAATGTAATCGATCCGTCCTACGGGACGGATCGATTACATATTATCATTATTATTATTATTATTATTCTATAGGAAGAAATCTACGTTACCATTCAATAAAACCAATTATTACTTAACCAAACTTTTGCGTCTATAATTTATTTAAAATTAACATTATAAACATTTTCCCCTTCGGAGCGAAGGAAGGTAAACTCTTGAACCCAACAGAGGGTCAAGCGTTACAAGATTACTAAACTTTTAAATGATCACTTTTTTTAACTGTATTGATGTGATTTTCTTGCCTTTTGTCTATGGACTCAAATCGACCGAAACATTAAAATCGAAATATATTTTGCAGTGTACCTTTGTTAGTTTACATAGGTGGCTAACAGGTGGTTTCTTCTTTTCTGCATGGCTACATATTTTCATTACAGTGACGAGAACATTTTCTTTTAATGTTTGGCATAAAATAGTTTTTATTAAATTTTGGCCTATGCCGATCTATTGGTACAAAATTCATATTTTTGTTTATACTTTACGTTGAAAAAAATCAACTAAATATTACATTAAAGAAATATTAACGTATTTTAACGTTAAAAAATAATCTATAACTGTTATTTTAAATTAAAATTTTCAAAATGCTCCCACCAAGGAATGATATCTCCAACATAAACCTAACAGTGAAAAAGGGCCAAGTACAAAACCCCCTCCTAAAAAAGGTAGCTTGTCAAAGTAGTGATATCTACATTGTAGCCAAATCTGCTATTTCTTTAGTTCATAACCTCACTTCACTCTTACTTTCATGAGCAACACTGCTCTTTTATTTGTATTTGTATGTGTAACACTTGGTCAGTTTCTGAATGAAACGTAACCTTTCCGAATGAGGTATTAAAAAAACTTAGCCACAATGTAGATAACACGGAGTTAAAAAATTGATATTGCGCATGCGCATGTTACACCTAATAACACTCTAACGTCAAAAATAAAAATAAAAATCTGTTCTAAAAAGCAATGGTTTTTATTACCTTCTAAAGTGTAATTTTTTAAATGTGGTGCACTCTATATTACTCATTAGTACCGAGCGATTTTATCCGAGAGGACTAGTACAGTAGGGTCGAGGCAGAATGGAATCAAAGCATAGATGGGACGAAGATGTCACAGGTCTACAACATTTATTATTAATACAAGTGATAAAATCGCTTTCATATAAACGCTTTGATGCTGATTTGTAAACACTACATCTCACTTTAATAACTATGTTTTAAACGTTATTTTAACATGTTAATGTTTAAAAATATTTCCATAGCAGTACGTAATATATTTATTCTGTACGGTAAATATATATATATATGGACTGTATAGGGGGGGGGGGGTTAAACAACTAATAACACAGAGCCAAATTATTATAACAAAACTACTATTCAGAAAACAACTATATACAATAATATCTTACACACTGGCCAGCTTGCTAAATTTTACAGCTAGTAAGTTTATTACTTAAACAACTAACACAATATAATACGAGAATGCCAAACAAATAGGTATATTTACAGTGGTGCAAGTCCAGGTGCGGCAGGCTGGTCGGTCGATAGGTCGGTCGATAGGTATCGAAGATTGTCTGTACAATTCGAAACGGTCGAATAAGCGAATTCAAAGGCAAAAACGGTCCAGTTCACGAGAAACAAAAAAAGCACAACAAACGGTGAAGTATCAGCAAAAATGCGGTACGGTAGACGGTAGTGCAGTGATAGTAGTGATACGGTACGGTCGGTGTTGATGGGCACTGCGGGTGGTGTGGAGTGGCGGCTGCCGAGATAACGCCCGAACATATTCTTTAAACTTTTATTAAAATATCTATTTGTACATTAATGACTATGCTTTAACGATTCAATGTCACCGCTATTCGAAACCCAAAAACTATGTCTAATAAATAAAGATATTCAAGGTTTGAAAATATACTTACTATGCTTGATATTGGTTCGAACGAAACAGAAAGACTAAACGTACTATGCGGATTTGTCCATGAGATTGTATTAACTTTAAGTAGGAATGTTTTGTTCGAGATTTTTCATTATTTACATTACTCTGACGTAGTTTAAACTTCTGTTGTTGTACACATATAGTTTTGCTATAATGCCAAGAATACTACAAGATACGATTGCAGCATGTATTATAATAAGCATGTAATATTTTTTGTAGTCCCCTCCCCTTATGAATACATTAGGGAAAATAATTCTTAATAAACTTCTCTCTAATAGTAGATTTATAATTAGAGAGCTAGTAAATATAATTTTATGTCCGCATCATTAAGGGAATTAAAAAGCGCTATTTATTAAGGAGCAAAGGATAAACATTAATTGACTGTAATTATTGATCTGGTAGAGATTTTAAATATTATGCTGATTAATTTTAAGAAGAAACATTATACATTTTTTTTTTTAAATAAAACTTTTATATTTTTTTTCCTTTGACTTATGACGGATGATTGATAAAAAATGAAGTTCTTAAAAGTAATTTTCTGATCTATCTATAAGAAGGATTTCAATTGTTTTTCTATGTGAAAATTACCATTTTCTTTAAAACCCCCCCAAAAAGGACTGGTTTTTTATTAACCTTTTAGAAAGTTAGTTAGATCTATTAAATAAGTATAAACATTTATAATAAAATGTTGAAAACGAATATAATATTTAATCGGCCTTTTGTCCCCATAGAAAAGATGTTATACTAACTAAAAATATGATTATTTTGGGGTTGGCAATTAACTGTGACGGAGCTTAATGAAGTGAGCACAGTAAAGTCGTCAATTTAACCGTTTTCAATGTATTATTACAAAAGGAAATAGGTAATAAAATCTTTTTTTAACAAAATGCTTCGATGCAAATGTACAAATATTAAATATCGCTAAAAGTCATTATAAAAGCAATACTTCCATACAATTGTATTTTTAGGTATATGGTGAATATATATAGAGTTATTTATTTAGTGTTATTTTCTAATATTCGCTTCTTTTTAAAAATTTAAGACCTATTGAGGTGGTTAAAAATTACTATCACTTTGGGTCCTATCACTGGATGATCTCTCTCATCATACGATATCACTGGTTTTTTCCCCCTGTATATACATATTAATGTTACTATTTGCTCATTATGCCCTGTATAGTGTAAATATTCTTTAATTAAAAAAAATAAAAAATTACTGTTATTGCTTGTTGAATTTGTGAATAGAAATATTTTCCCAACTAGTTTAACTGTTAACTTGAAATCGAAAATCTGTTTAACTGATATCTATGTAACACTATGCTTATACACCGTATAACAACATAAATATATGTTACAAACGTGTTTTCGCATATTTTTTGCTTTTTCCACTGGGACTAAAAAAGTATGGCCACAGATTTTAAAGAAGTTGAATAAGTTATACATTTTTTTCAGAAATATCTCTATTCTGATTTTAAGTCCCTAAAATAAGCTCAAAGATTAAAAATTATCAAACCCTTGAATGGGAAGGGTTTATGATGTTTTTTTTAAAAATTAAGTTATAACGCTATACCTAGGTACATACAATTTTTGTCCTAAAAACAACTAACAAGTTCGAAATTAATAAAACGATATTTCAAAAAGTTTCAACACACCTTAATAATTGCAAGTTAGATAAATAAGAATTTTGAATTAATATTTTAGATTATGTTTATCTAATTCTCGATTTATTTTAGCACAATTTAAGACCTGACATATTTTTGTAGCTAAAAAATTACTTTGGGTTCTATCATTAGATGGTCTCTCTCATCAAACTTTATCACCTTTTATTCTCTATATACATGGTAAACCATTCAATATCTCATTGGGTTTTATAAGAAATTACAATTTTTTTCATATTGTTTTTTATACAATGTGATCTTAATTTTTCACAATTTTTTTCGTTTTTACCCTCGTTCCTACTTAGTTTTTTTGTTGACAACTTTTGAAACTTAAATGGTAACGTATATATTTTGTTAATTTTTTAAATTGAGAATAATGTATTTTAAATGTTGACTAGTCGATAACCAGTTTCGGATAACTATTTTTAAAGTTATAAGAGTTTAAAAGTTAGGGTAGGAGGGGAAGTGCGGTTGGGAAATGCGCGCAGATAAAAATATTCCTACACTCCACCTTTCCTCCTGCCCTTAACTTGAAACTTCAATTACTTCAAAAATAGTTATCAGAAACTGGTTATCGACTAGTCAAAATTTTAAATACATTATTCTCAATTTAAAAGATTAACAAAAAAATTACTTAAATTTAACGTTAACTTAAATGGTAACGTTCATTTGAGTTTCAAAAGTTGCTATGAAAAATACCAAGTTAGGATGGGGGTAAAAACAAAAACAATTGTAGAAAATTGAGATCACATTGTATAAAAAAAAAAATTAAAAAAAATTATAATTTCTTATTAAACCCTATGAGATGTTGAGTGGTTCACGATAAGTGGATCACCCCGTATTCATAGAAATCAAATCTGATACTTTTCAACTGGGTTAGTCGTGTAACAACATGTTTTTACATCGTATAGCAACATAAATAATATGTATTACAAACTTATTTTCCCATATTTTTTGCCTTTTACTTTGGTAAAAAAAAAAAATTAGCTACAGATTTTTAAGAAAATCGAATATGGTTAAAAAAATTGTGTAATCAATATTATAATGTTTTCTATATCAAGTTATATCGATTTTCCGAAATCTAATTATTATCCCACATAACTCACAAATTCGAAATCGACTGCCCCAACGAAAATGGTCGTATCTCGTTTTTTGTAACTTTTCAGGATGAACAAAAATTAGTCATCTACATCAGAATTTAGTAATGTTTTTTGTAAGAGGGTTTTAATATGTTCTGCAATCGTATCTTGTAGCTAGGTACTCTTGGAATTATAATAAAAATAGGTTTTTGCAACTAAACGTTCACAACAACAGAAGTTTACACTACGTCAGAGTAATGTAAATAAGGAAACATTTACGATTTTTTTTTTAAGTGCCTAAGGGCATTTTTATTTAAACGATTAAAAATCTTTATAAATATAAATCAAAAGAGTATTGATACATACATTTGAGTAAAATATATATATACATATGCAAAACATGTGTGGGGTTCTACTTCCAGTGAAGTAGTCCCATTCTTAATCTAATAATTAGACTAAGCCGAATGGCTTCAGTCGTTTGAGTCGTCTGATGTCTTGCGAGTTGTCGAGGAGCTGTAAGGCAGCTGTATTTGAGTGAAGCTCCAGTCTTTTTGCGGGTTCGCGGGCAAACCGGGTAATTTCATCCTGCACGGATGTTATTTTTAGATCGCGGTGGATGATGTCGTTCTTATCATACCGATATGCTGCAACAATAGTACGAAGAGCGACGTTCCGGCAACGTTGGACGAGTTCAGTATTAGACTTACTGGCGCAACCCCACAGTTGAATACCATAGATCCAAATCGGTTTAACGATCCATACATACAGGAGACGTTTGCTGGTTAGGTCTAGCTCGGAGTGTCGCCCAACTAGCCAATACTGTTTGCGCATTTTTTCTTTGATTTGCACATTTTTCTGGCGTACATGATGTTTCCAGTTAAGTCGCGAGTCAAGGTGCATTCCCAGATATTTTGCTGAATCGTTTTGTGGGATTATCTGTTGGTTCAGCGTGACTGGGATATATACGGTTTTACGTAGCGTGTAGTTGACGTGCACCGACTTGTCACTATTGATTTTTATTTTCCAACGCTTTGTCCAGTCATAAACGTTGTTGATTGTCACTTGTAGGATCTCGGTCGCAGCTTGTTGTTCCTTATTGGTTGACAGTATTGCCGTGTCATCGGCAAACATAGCTATCGTTGTGTCGTCATTAGTTGGAATATCAGCTGTATAGATTAGGTACAAAATAGGTCCGAGAACACTACCTTGAGGTACTCCAGATGATATACTCTTCCAGTTAGTGGTCGCTTCTTCGTATCTAACACGAAACTGTCTTTCAGTCAGATATGATTTGAGAAGTGCACACCATGTATGTGCGAGCTACTCTTGCAGTTTTAGTAATAAACCTTTGTGCCAAACTTTATCAAAACTTTCTTGGGCCACATCAAGGAATACACCACAGCAGTAATTTTTCTCTTCCAACGCCTCACTGATCGCGTTCGTTACGCGATGAACTTGGTCGATGGTCGAGTGTTTATGGCGAAATCCAAACTGGTGATCTGGTATGAGTTGTTTTTCTTCAATAAGTGGACTAAGACGCTTAAGAAGAAGTTTTTCGAATAGTTTTGACATACACGGTAGAAGCGATATCGGCCGATAAGAGGTGGCTTGTTCGGGCGGTTTCCCAGGTTTAAGCAACATAATTACCTCCGCTCTTTTCCATTGCTCGGGAACAAATTTCGGTCGCAAGACGGCGTTGAAGATGTGATTAAGGTGGATGATTGCCTTCTTAGGTAGCTCTTTAAGGATGCGTGGACTTATCTCATCGTATCCAGGTGCCTTTTTCGTGTTGATGTTGGTATCGATTTAATGGGCTACTTCAAGTGGTGTAAAGTGCCGTATGATTTCTCTTGTAGAAATGAGTGGCTGACATTGAATGCTGTCGAGTTCAGAAATTATGTCGTTTGGCTGAAATACACGTTCGAGATGATGTCCGTATACTTCAGCTTTACCTTGTTCACTGCGCGCCCAAGTGCCATCTTCCTTTCGGATGGGTGGTATATGAACGCGAGGTCTTTTTAATCGTCTTGTAGCTTTCCATAACGAGTAATCGGAATCGGCTGTTGCAGATAAGCCACACAAATACGATTTAAATGTTTCATTTTTCACTTCTTTGATTTTATCATGTAGCAATTTTCTAACTTGAATCCATTCGGTTTTATCGGATGGGTGTCGAGTTCTGTGCCAAATTCGTCTTGCTCGCCGCTTTTGTTGAACAAGCTCTCTGATTTCTTTCGGATAGTTAAACTAGCGGTCGTTGCCTTTTTGAGCTTCAGGTGTTGCCGTTTTTTA